GTGCTGGGAACAGGTCTTTACTAGGCTACCAGGTCTTTGCCTCTGAGCCACGCCCCCTGCTCCTTCCTAGCCTTTGGTTATAACAAGGAAGATTGGGGTAGTATATAAATTCAAGGCCCAAAAGTTCAAGAGGGAGTCAAGTGCAGTAGCAAATACCTGTTCATCGCAGACCTCCAGAGGTAGAAAGGCAGCAGGATGAGGGCTTCCAGGTCATCCTCAGCCTCAGTTACACAGAAAGATGGGGCCAGCCTAGGGCTACATGAGACCCTACCTCAAAAAAAAAAAAAAAAAGCTGGCAAGAGACGTGTCATCTCCTTGGAAGTATCAATGGTCCAGTGAAGGGTGGCGGTTATGAAATTATTATATAATGGCTCTGTGTGATTTTTTTAAAGGTTTATTTATTAATAACAGAATTCTTTATTGATTCACTGGAAATTTCACATCATGTGCCTGACTCCCTCTCACCTCCCAGCCCTTCATCCCTGCAGTATCCCCATGCAGAAGAACCCCGCAAATTAATTACAAACAAACAAAAGACCACTTCGCTCCTCCATCTTTCCGTCCTCTCCAGCACCTCGTCATTCGTCCTGGTTTATTTATTTTTATTTTATGTGTGTGAGTGCTTTACCTACATGGATGTCTATGCTCCGCATGTGGCGGTGCTTGCAGAGGCCAGGCAAGACCATTGGATCCCCTTGAACCAGTCACAGACGGTTGGAAGCCTCTAAGTGGGTGCTGGGAACGGACCCCAGGTCCTCTGGGAAAGCAGCTAGTGCTCTTAATCACTCTCCAGCTATCCAGCTCCGTGTGATCTTTCTCCGGCCCTTCTCACACAGCCAGCAACCCGGAAGCTCCAGCTGCCCTTTCCTCTCCCCTCATCACCTTTCCTAAAATATTTCTTCTGCAGGTGGCAGCTGTGGTCAAACTTGGTCCTCAGTGGAGATGGGAGAGGCGCGGGAGAAGGAGGCTTACCTTTATGCTGGACAGGCTCCCGCCCTGTATAGGTTGGCCGTCGCCAGCTGCAGCTTTCCACAGCGTTGGTCCACTCTTCTAGTTGAGCGCCACAAAATACAACAAAAACAACAGCAGAGAACGCTAACATATACACTAACATGAGAAGCAGCTGCCTAGGCTGAGAAACGGATTCATTCCGAGTGGAGGTCGGTGCAGTCTTGGAGAGGACATGGTCCCAAGATTGAATGGTCAGAGAAGAGTCACTATGTGTAACATGCTGGGAGTTCACCCTGTGGAATTTATCACAAGTCTGCCCCCCAAAGATGCTATATTAAATAGCGTAGATTTGAAACATTGTGTCGATAACGAATGTCTCTCCGGGAGTTCTACTAGAAAAGTGGACAAGTGCTCTATCTCAGAGGTATACTCCCAGTCAAACTTCCTATCCTCCAGGCTCCGCCTCCTAAGAGCTGAGATTATTGGTTACCATACCCACTTTACAACTATATATTCTCCTCTTTCTTTCTTTCTTTCTTTCTTTCTTTCTTTCTTTCTTTCTTTCTTTCTTTCTTTCTTTCTTTCTTTCTTTTTCTTCCTTCCTTCCTTCCTTTCTTTCTTTTTCTTTCTTCTTCTTTCTTCTTTCTCTCTCTTTCTTCCCTCCCTCCCTCCTTCCCTCTCTCTCTCTCTCTCTCTCTCTCTCTCTTTCTTTCTGTCTGTCTCACCATGTAAACCCTGACTCTGGCCTGGAGCTTACCATATAGACCAAGCTAACCTCAAACTCACAGAGACTGCCTGCCTTGGTCTCTTGAGAAGGCCATATTCTTGTTGTTGAGACAGGGTCTCACTCTGTAGTAGTTTTGGCTGGTCTGGAACTCTCTGTGTAGACGAAGGTTGCCTTAAACTCACAAGAGACATCCTCCTTTGCCTCTAGAGCGCTGGAATTCACACACGTGCCATGATGTGTGGATCCCTCACAAAAATACGTTAATATGTGATTTCAAAGAAGTGCTGTATCTGAGGAAGACTCGGTTGGGGACAGTCACGAGCTTATGTGACTCATGCCCTAGCGAGTTTCCAGAAGGTAAAGTAGAATGGAGACAGGACCAGTGACATTCCTTTGTGATTATGACTATGACTTCATTTTTCACTCTGACCTAGCACTGGCGTTTCTGGGAGACACGGGTTACACCTTTACTGTCATTTGATTCTTGCAGATTATTGGTGGCTTAAGCTTTTACTAGTAATAGTGCAAATATGTCTCTCTCTTGCTCGCTCGCTCTCTCTCTTTTTTAAAGATTTATTTATTTATTATGTATATAGCATTCTGCATGCCTGTATGCCTGTATGCCAGAAGAGGGCGCCAGATCTCATTATAGGTACCTGGGAGGCACCATGTGATTGCTGGGAATTGAACTCATGACCTCTGGAAGAATAACTAGTGCTCTTAACCTCTGAGCCATCTCTCCAGCCCCCATATGGGACTCTCTTTATTCTCACTTCGTGTGTGTAAACTCATCTAAACATGGATCAGAAATAATCTGGAAAAGGGTTGGAGAGATGGCTCAATGGTTAAGGACACTTACTACTATTTTTTTTTTATTACCTGGAGGGACAGGTGCGGTTGCTGGGAACCGATCTCTTATATTTTTGGTAGTGAGCCTAGCTTTTAACCTCGGAGCCATCCCTCCAGGCCATTTGTTTTTTGAGACAGGGTTTCTCTGTATCTTTGGAGCCTGTCCTAGAACTGCTCTATAGACCAGGCTGACCTTGAACTCACAGAGATCTGCCTGTCTTTACCTCCCAAGTGCTGAAAGTAAAGGTGTGCACCACCACCGCCTGGTAAGCACTTACTACTCTTGCAGAGGACAAGAGTTCAATTCTCAGCACCCAAAACATATCCTTGGTTCTAGCTCTAGGGTATCCAGTGCCCTCTTCTGGCCTTCTCAGGTACCTGCATGCATTTGCACTGACACACACACACACACACACACACACACACACACACAAACATAATAAAAAATTTACTACCAGGCATGGTGGCACATGCCTTTAATCCCATCACTCAGGAGGCAGAGGCAGGCAGATCTCTGTGAGTTTGAGGCCAGCCTGGTCTACAGACTGAGTTCCAGGACAGCCAAGGATACACAGAGAAACCGTGTCTCGAAAAACCAAAAAAAAAAAAATCTTAAAAACTTTAAATAATTACTAATATTTGGGAAGGAACTGGAGAGATGGCTCAGTGGTCAAGAGCACTTGTGTCTCTTGCAGGGGACCTGGGACTAGTTCTCAGTACCCACATGGTAGCTCACAGCCATCTGTGACTTCAGTTCCAAAGGTTCTCAAGCCCTCTTCCAACCTCTGCAAGCACATGCATGATGTACACACACATATGTAATTAAGCACATAGGAAGACTCATACATTTCCTTGGGATTTTGAAATCACCATCAGCAAACATTAGGAAGAGCCAGATGTGGCAGCCCACACCTGTGATCCCAGCACTTGGGAGGCAGAGACAGGGATGCTGCAATGAATTTGAGGCCAATCTGGGCTCTACAATGGGTCCCAGGCTGGCCTAGGCTGCAGAGTGAGTCCTTACCCGAAAAAACCAAAGCAAAACAAAACTCTGGAGAAGTGCAAAGTGCTGCTCCCAATGAAAGTGAGGTTACTGAAGGAAGTCATGAGTCAACAGGACTTTGCCCTTTGGTCACCTTCCAACAGAGTGTGGCAAAGGGCTGGGATGCCTGAACATCACCGTCATATCCCTTCCACCTGGAGTGCGAGGCTTTGCAGTTATTACTGCATTTAAGATCATTGTCACTGAAACCAGCAGATGTTTCCCGAACGCCGAGGCGTTGAGTAACAGCCTTGGTCAGGAAGCGGGTATTTGTTTGTCTGGCCCTACTAGGTCCTGCCCTGGGCAGATGGAATACTGTAGGTATGTAGGTGAACCACATGAATGCCCGCAGGCGTACCCTGGAGGGCCGAAGTTGGTGAAGCTGGAAATAGGCACATTGGTTTTGGCACCGAGCAGGGTTTGAGCCCTGCCCTCACTGTGGGATCAGGGAATTAAGAAATCCTCAGGCACAGCTGACCTGCGGCGGTTCAGTGCTTAAGAGCACTGGCTACTGTTTCAGAGATCTAGCTCCCAGAGCCCACATGATGGCTCACAACTGTCTAGAACTCCAGAACCCTATTCTGGCCTCAAAGGGCATTGTATACACGTTGTGCACAGACATACATGTGGACAAAACAGACCACAAAATAATTAAATAACTAAAAATTTTAAAAAGAAATACTCGAAAGCCTCAGTTTCCTATACTGAGAAATGATTACTTTTATATGTATTTTAATGGCTGATATGTAGATTAGACAATCCAGTATATGCAAGGTATCGAGTGTATAACTGAACAACTATTATTTCTTTTGGCTCATGTTAAATAATTTTTTTTGAGACAGGTTTTCTCTCTGTAGCCCTGGCTGTCCTGGAACTCACTCTGTAGATCAGACTGACCTTGAACTCACAGAGATCTCTGGGATTAAAGACGTGTACCTCTACTGTCCAGCTACAATAATATTTTTATGGAACCAGGGAGATGGCTCAGTAGGTAAAAAATGTTTCCTTGGTGTCCGAGTTAGGGTTTCTGTTGGTGTGATAAAACACCAAGTAACTTGGGGATTAAAGGCTTTATTTCACCATACAATTTACAGTCAGTCCATCATGGAGAGACGTCAGAGCAGGACCCTAGAGGCAAGAACTGAAGCAAAAGCCATGGAGGAGGCTGCTCACTGGCTCGCTCTCCATAACTTGCTCAACTCCTTTGTTTTATACCCAGGACCACCTGCCCAGGGAGGGCACTACCCACAGTGAGCAGGACCCTTCCACGTCAATCACTAATCAAGAATATTTCCCAAAGACTTAAGACCAATCTGATGAAAGAATTTCTACAATGAAGAGTCATTCTTTGGGGGCTGGAGAGATGACTCAGCAGTTAAGAGTACTGGCTGCTCTTCCAGAGAACCCAGGTTCAGTTCCCAGCACCCGCATCTGTCTGTAACTCTGTCTGTAACTCTGTTCCAGCAGATCTGACACCCTCATAAAGACATACCTGCAGGCAAAACACCAGTGTACGTAAATTAAAAATAAATTATTTTTAAAAGGTCATTCTTCCCAGATATGTCTAGGATCAAGTGAAATTGACCAAAACAAACAAACCAACCCCCAAACCAATCCCAACCTAGGTGAACCTGACAATTTCAGCTCAGCTCCTGGAACCACAGTGGAAGGAGAGAGCTAACCCCAGAAAGTTAGCCATTGATTGCCACGCTTGTGCTATGACATGCATGGACTCACACTCACACAATAAAAATAATAAATAAATTAATGAGGCCGGAGAGATGAATCGGGGGTCAAGAATGTGTGCTGCTCTTGCAGAGGACCTAGTTCAGGGTCAAGAATGTGTGCTGCTCTTGCAGAGGACCTAGTTCAGTTTTCAGAACTGATCTTAAACAGCACACAGCTGTCTGCAGTCCAGCTCCAACGGAATTTGGCCTCCACTGCCACCTCAAGTGCATCCCCCCCATCCACCACCACCACACATGTCAAGAAGCACATATAATTAAAAACAATATTTATGTATTTGTTTATTTATTATGTATACAATATTCTGTCTGTGTGTATGCCTGCAGGCCAGAAGAGGGCACCAGACCCCATTACAAATGGTTGTGAGCCACCATGTGGTTGTTGGGAATTGAACTCAGGACCTTTGAAAGAACGGGCAATGCTCTTAACCACTGAGCCATCTCTCCAGCCCAATTAAAAACAATTTTAAAAAATTATTTGTTTATCTTGGGGTTTTGCCTTCACTTATGTCCGTGCGAAGGTGTCGGATCCTTCGGCACCTGAGTGGCAAGACAGTTGTGACTCGCCATGTGCATGCTGGGAACTGAACCCAAGTCTCCTGGAGGAGCAACCAGTACTCTTAACCACTGAGCCATCTCTCCAGCCCCTAACAAATTGTAAAACCTTTAAACCATTAATAAAACCGTTGTAGAGTTAGTAAGAGCATGGCTGGGATGCAGCTCAGTTGACAGAGCATTTGCTTGGCGTGCAGGAAGCCCCTGGGTTTGCTTCTCAGCCCCACATAAACTGAGCATGCGCATGTACACCTGTAATCCCAGCACTTCGGAGACAAGAGTCGGAGAATCAGAGGTTATCCTCACTGACATGACGAGCCAGAGGCCAGTCAGGCTACAAGAAACCGTGTCTCAAAAAACAACATTCAAGGGCTGGAGAGATGGCTCAGCGGTTAAGAGCATTGCCTGCTCTTCCAAAGGTCTTGAGTTCAAT